TGATGAATGTATGAAGTGTGCTCTACAATACTGAGCCTTGGGATGGTGTAAGACCCAAATGGTACTTTTGAACCTCAGCTATTTTGATGCCAGTGGCATCCCTACCTTTCCTCTTCATCCTTTTCCAGTGTAGCCCAGATTATATGCTAATTTATCTCCAAGGGATTAACAAACAGCTGGAGTGAACCAAATCTCCAGTACACACTGGTGCTGTATCTATTTACTGGGAATCTTGTTATAAGTGTATGTTCGAAATGAATAGGCACAGAATTTGCTTTATTGAGACAGAATAAGAGGTAAAACTAGTTGAAAAAAAAAAAAAAAGCAGTTGATCATATAAATAAAAGAAAATTAGGGAATCAATCAAATTCCTGGTACAGAAGTTCCCGCATTGCTGTTTTCACACACTTTGGAACTTATTTTGTACACACAACCCCAAAATTAATTGGATGAGCCACCTGTAGAAATATGGCATTTGTGCAACACTGGCAAAAAAAAAAGAAAGGAAATCAATGGGGAAAGCATTCATCCCCCAACCAGATCAGGCTGAGAAACACATTTCTTCATATTCTTCCTCTAACAACCTTAAGAGAATCTTTTCTTAATTCCTTCTTTTCTCCTCTATTTTTTTTTTTTTTTTTAAGATTGAAGACTGGAAATATATATCCAAATATTTTCCAAACCTGTATATTAAAATTAAAAATATATTAGTTTTACAAAAATCTTATCTTAATTATTTGACAATCCCTTCGATTTTTTTAAGATGGCAGCAAATAAACTGACAATCCATCTGATTTTCTCTAAGGTAAAAAAAAAAAAAAAAAAACTTACTAGCAACAAATATTCCTTAGTTTTGAATTTTTGAAAAAATCCTCTTCTCATCTGAAATGCAACTTTCACAGGACATGTAGCATGAAATTCACTTTGCATCTATGATACACCCATTCTATGGATAAACATGTAATTCTGTTTACTAGGAAAAACAGTAGATCGTCTTCACTCTTAAATAAATCAAACATTAGGGGAAAAAAAACCCCAAAACAAACAAATGACCCAACCTAGAAAAGCATTTTAATTCAGCCACATTAGATTATGGTGAAATTTTATCAGCATTTGAAGGATGCCTAGATAATAATAATTTTTCAGTAGACAGAGGTTTTCTGTTTTATTCAGTTGCACAGGTACAGCAATTTTTTGTTCTTTTCGGTAGTCACTGTGCAACCCCTCAGTTAATTATTGCTAATGTTTTGCAGAATGTGCTACAGTTAATTATTGTTATTAGTGTAATTAGTTTGGTCAATATCAGCCAGCAATGCATGATCTCAGGGTTTAGAGGATCTTTTGTGTACATTTTTTGTAACACTGAAAAATAGAGCTAAACCCAGAGGTCTGAGCTGCATCAGATTAGGAACCATGAAAGTATTAGGTTCATTGTCCAGATGCAGATCTTTGAACGCCCTTGTAAGCAACACCCGTTTCAAAACCGCTAAGATTTTTAGGGTTTAAATCCTACATGAGACAACTTGAGGTAGGTTTGGATGGTACTGAGCTGACATGAAACTTATAGAACCAGAGAAAACCGAGTGTCAAAATCTGTTTTTTAATTGAAACTTTACTATCATAAATGTGTAATTTCACTACAGACTATAATCAAATAAGAGTCAGTAGAAAATTTACTTTTAATTTATTTCATTTCAGTTTAATTCCTGGTTCTAACCTAATTTTTTTCTGAACTTGCAGCAGAGTGTATAGCTGTTCTTGATGCAGACACAACCTACAGAAAGTAGTAAATTAGCATATTGCTCTGAAAACAAAAATAGTTCTATTTTCAGAAGTCTTAGAAGAGATAACTCATTCTAGGGAATCTATAATCTGTAATTACAGTACAGAAATTCCCAGCAAAATTTACATATATCTTTGAACATTTTAATTAAAGACCACTATTACCTATTTGTTCTGAACTCGGGTTTGGAATGGTGTTTTTTCCTCCTATAAAATAGTTGTGGGTTTTTTTCTGTTTTTTTTTTTTGTTTGTTTTGTTTTGTTTTGTTTTGTTTTGTTTTGTTTTGTTTTGTTTTTTCCTGGCATTGATTTTGAAATGTGAGGACCCTTAAGTAACAATTCTTGAACCATTTTCAGTTAACACATCATTACTCTGAATGTGGTGGGTATAAGATTTGGATGTTCTGAGACTATCTTCTATTACCAATTCTTGTGAAATTTCTACTACACTGAATAGCCCAAATAACAGGAGGTTGGCTGTTCTCCTGGATTGTCTGCCATCTCTGAGCACAGAACTGAAGAGACAAGCCTGACAACCCAAAGTAAATATTCTATAAACACCAACATCAAAAGAACACCCACTGTTGGTGTCCTTCATTCCTCACTGTCCACACATACAATCACCACCCTCAGCCTCTCGTAATGGGCATAGAATTTTCAATGCAAAGACATTCATATGTGCCGTATGAAGTGGCACAGTAAGAGAACAGAAAAAGGTGAGAAACAGAAGGTCAAAAAGCCCAGGGGATCTCTAGAAGGTGAACTACATCCAGGATAAAAAGAAATCTTCTAACATTTCTGCAGCTTGGTTCTTTAGGAAAATTCTTTCCAAACCTGAATTATTTAACATTGGACAAAACAAGGAACGGAAAGGCTGTCATCCAAAAGAGGTTTCCCACTCAGCAACTTAACCCCAGCTGTCACTGCTTTTATCATAACTTAAAAAGTGAAATAGGAGGAAGAAGAAGGAGAAAGAAGCCCAGATATTATCAATACATCATCCCATACATCACTTATCTGTCAAACTCTAAGTTGGAAATTGAACTTTTTTAAACCACTCATGCTTATTCTACTCTGACACTTTTTTATGGTTACATTCATGATTTCCTGGACAGAGAGAATCTAGGTCATTAGGGGAAAGCAGAACTCATCTTGGGGAACAAAGGTAGTCATTCAGGCCTTTTCTATGTTTAATTCACTGTATATTAATCCTGCCTATACGACAGTCAGAATGAACTCATGATTTATGGAATGACATCATTTTTTCCTTATGTCTATCAGAATTCTATCAGTTGGAGTATCTCTCAGGATTCTACTGAAACATTTTGTGCCCATTCCACATTGGAAGTTCATAGCCAGTAAATGATGAACTGCCCACTTCCTTTCTTCTAGACTCTTAATTCTCATTTGCTGTTTTTTTTCCCCAGAATTTTCACGTTTGTGACAACAACAGAAGGTTTTCATTAATCCCAGTGAATGTCCTAACCATCCACTTCATCCTATTTTTCTCTAGGCCACCCAGACACTCAATTCTTCTTGAACAATTATGTGGTCCTCAGCTTTGAAAAGGTATCATTACTTTGTGTAATCCACAGATTTGAAGGTTTTATTCTTATAAAATCGACAGTAAATGTTTTCTGAACAAGTAGGTTTGAATAAACTTCATTTATGCTTTAAAGCCTGTATGTAATAGTAAATGGAATGTCTAAACTTTCCTCAATGTGTATATAAAATTGGGCTATTATGATTCAATTATACTATGAATATGGTATAGTTTGTAATATCTTTTGTTTTGGTGAATGAAACTTCAAAATGACATGGTTCTTACAGTAATATGTTTGGGAAAAATTGCTGCCATCATTTGGATGCACTCAGGAAAAAAAAAAAAAAAAAAAAAAAAAAAAGAAGTGACAATTTACTGAAAGTTCCAGTTGACACATCCTGGATACCTGCTATACCATGAAAAAAAAAAAAAAATTGATATTGCAGAAAGTTACTGTGAGATAACCAATATTTTATCCTTTCCCATTTAATATGGTGATCTTTTCATAACATCTGTGCAATAATTGTTTGCTTGGTTAAGCCATAGTGGTGGGAAAAAGCTTTCACTGAAAGATGTGCCACTGAAGTTGAAGCCAAATATAACAAAAAAACAGAGATTATGGATACAGAGAGGAAATTATATCCAATCCCAAGATTTAATTTTTTGCATCTATACCTTGTCTTGTTATTTAAATAGGAGATAAAACTTGTTTGATCTGGACGATTATCACAGCCTAGTGTTACAGCTTATTTATCCTGAAATTTCTTTGGAATTTAGCATGGATATGTTATATTATCTCTTTTTTGAGTGGGTTTTTTTTTTTTTTTGGCTTTCTTTTTTCTCTTTTTCTTTTGGATTTCCAGAAGATGTAATCAAGTGCTTGTTGTGTGGCCAGCTCAATACACTAGCTTCTGAGACAAACCCTGCATGTTCAGCAAAGTCTTTTTAAGAACAGAGAATGCTAGTGTCAGTGAGAATAAATCAAAGGTGATAATATCTGGGAAAAAGAAAGCATTGTACGGAAAAAATAATGACTCCTCTGAAGAGATACCATTGTCAGACACTAGCATATCATGCCAGTGCTGGACAGTGATATTAAAATATACCACAAATCTACTTTATCGCCTGGAGTGAGACTCAGGCACACATTCTGTGACTGTCCGGAGAGGAGACTAACACCAGCTGAGCTGTAATGACACTCAGTAAAAGAACTCAAAAGAAGATGTGGGAAAGAAAACAGAGTCACAGTAGGCATCCTCCACACTTTGCACTGTACAGCTGACTTTGCACTTAGTCTCGTTTCTGCCTGGGCACAAGGACCAGCAGGCCAACAAGTTACATCTACACTATCCAGCAAACCATCACCCCTCACCAAGTGTTAGAGTGACATGACCACTTGCTGTTAAACTAACAGCAGCAAGCTGACCACTCTCCCCTCTTATACAACAGAGCCAAGGTTAGTTTTACAAAAATATCCAGTTATGAATGCTTACAACATTTCAGTCTGTAACAAATTAAGCTGACTCACTGCCCCAGTCACGAATTACAGTCTTTTATCCAAGCCATGTGCAAGAGAAAGAGGAAAGAAACCCTTCATTAAACAATGTTCTTTTTCTGTAAACTTTACACTCCCTATTTGCCCCTTATCCCCAAAAATACTGTTGCTCAAACTTACCGCTTTTGCCAACTCCCCCAGCTCCTAGCATCACCACCTTGTACTCTCTGGAGCCTGCTGAAGAATTGCTGGAGGTGCTGATCATTTCATTTTCTAGCTCCATCTTGCACGAGGCAGAAGAAGGGAGCAAAAGGGAAGAAAAAGCGACTGGCAGGTGCTTTCTCTGATCTTAAACAACTATAAAAGCTGTGTTAGGGAAAAAAAAATAAAAAAGCAGAAAAGAAAGGTATAATGCAAGAGGTACGATTTATCAGCCTCACACTCGCTGCTGTGCCTGTGTTAGCTGGAGAAGGTCTCATAGCAACCACTTTAACAGCTTCCAATAAAAATCTCTCTCTGCCCCCTCCCAGCTCTGTATCATTCTCTGTGTTTCTCTTCCTGGACAGCAGCAGTTTTGTGAGACTCAAGAGCCCTGGTACCTCTGGGTGTTGCTGTGTCATTGGAATCAAATTGAGCAGAGGCTCCAGAAAAAGAAAACAGATCACATTTCTTAATTATGATGCTTGTTATCTCACGTAGCACTTGCTTGACTCCTAAACAATAGTAAAACAGACCAGACAAGCTCCTTGCCACCTTGGAGTTAAATATTCATCCTATGTTCATCAAGTTTGCTACATTTACACTTAATCCTATTAAAAGTGAAATAAGCAACAACTTTTAAGAGTCTTTGTTCCTTGTGAAGCTTACTGCAGTGGGGAGAAGTTTTCTAAGGTTAGGTTTGCCCCCAGATCAATTCTCTTTTAGTTCAGCTTGCATCCATTATTTGCAGAAACAAACCAGGTATTTTGAAAAAAAGGTTTGTTTGTTGTTTTTCTTTTTTCCCCACACAGAATTTCAGAAGGGGATTGGGACTGAAGGGATGGGGAAAGATCTATGCATCCAGAAAATATCCATGTAAACAAAGAATAAAAACAAATTGCTATAAGAACTTTGTACTAATATCAAATGATTTATCTGACCAACCTGGTCAGCCCAAATAAGTAAGAAAAGAATAAAGCAAAAAGTGATTGTGAATGACATCCAGTGCGAAAATCTGCTAGAATTATTTAGTGAAAATGTACAAGAAAAACCTGCAGTTCATCACTTATTTCTGATCATGTCCTTAACAGATCTAGTATATTTAAATAATGTGATAAGTAATAAGATACTTTCCCAGCTTTAACTGTTATGCAATATGTTTGAGGACCAAAAGCATCTACTGTAGAAAGGGTGAAAAGCAAAAACTTATTCTCCTTTGAAAAGTGCTGGGCTTTCATGAGAAGTGGAACTGTTAAGGAGCCAGTGAAATGGAAGCAGGAGAGGCAACTAGTAAAGTATCTTGGAAGGCAGGCATCTTCGTCTATCCACTCCTCCAATTATTTCTCAGAGAATAAACATACAGCATTACACAGGAATATGGAATTAAAAGTTGGAAAGAAAAAAAAAAAAAAAGAAAAAAAAAGAGCATATAACTTGATTAAGGACGTGATTTAAAGAAAGTTAGGAAGAAAATGAAAACATATGGAAGGGCATATGTATGAAAGATAGTTTAATGGACTAAGAAAATACATGACTAAAGAGAAGAAACACAAAGGTAAAATAATAGAATTATAATTAGAATGGAGAAGGTGAACAGAACATGTGTAGTCATTTTCCCTCTTAATACAAAAATTAGGAAACATCAGATGAAACAGACAGGAGCCAGGTTCAAAACCAAAGTACTTAGAGGAGTCATGGCTGACTTAAGAAACTTCTTGCCACTTGATGTTTTAGGTAGTAGAAACTAACTCAATGAAAAAGAATTTAAATACAAAGTAATAGGAAATCTTGTGGACTATTGTGGACTATTAAATTTATTTAAATTAAATTGTGGACTATTAAAGTCACCACCTCCTACTTAATACTGAAGACTCACACCAACAGATCCTGGGAAAAACACTGGAGAATCAAAGTATGACAGTCTGTTTTCAGCTACACAGAAAAAAGAGAGCAGAGAGAGAGCCACTGTGTTCTGAGAACTCCTCCAAAATCAGGATCTGCTACAGTTGTCCTACAGGATTTCTGTAATAACCATGCTGCGGGCAGGTTTGTACTGTCAGGACTGTGTGGCTGTATTGATGCCTGGATGTAAACCTCAGAGTTCAGGATTTGGTTTTCAGAGCATAAAACAGGACTTAAACAGGAAATTCTGAATGTAATAATGTGATGTCTAAATATTGAAATTCAGCAGAAACAGACAGGTAGGTCAGTAAATTCCTGTTGTGGTTAAAATTCCATTTTCATTAAAATCATTCTCAAGTGCTTAGTATTGACACATTAGACAAAACCATAATGTTATGAAAACCACTGCTTAGAACAGCTGGGTTTTCCTGGTAAACTCACATCAACACAGCAACCTCCTCCTCGGCAGCTTTTAACCCCATAGCTGGCAGTAACATTTGGCTGGCATTAAAATGTCAGGAAAGTGAGTGGTTGTGGGCATGACTCAAAAGGCAAGCTAAACAAAATTTTCCAAAAAAGATTAGTGAAAATTATATAAATGTAATAGATAAGAATTAGTCATTTTTTTTTTTTTTTCAGCTATTGGTGTTTGCCAGAGAAAAACAGTCCTTTTTCTCTTTTGTTTAGAGCTGGAAAGAAGGGAAAGGATATAAGAAATGGAAGAGGCTACAAAAGAGAACTATGTTAGAGCAAGAGGCAGAATAAGACAGAACTAAATGGAAAGACATTTCCTCATTTTTTAAGAAAATCTAGAAAAAAGAAGACAGCATTTTTTATATATGCAAGAGTGGAATTGAATATTTTCACCTGTTGATTGAAGATAAGCCATTTAAAATATCTGCTTTAAAGACAGATTCATGTTTATTAAACTTCAACAGTTTAATAAGAATTATTACATTATGTAAACGTTTGGAGAAACATATCCTCTTAACTTTTGCAGAGACTTGTCTGGAGCCTATAAAGGTGATAGTGCATTCCCATTTTTAATACAGGACTTGTTCTAATTTGTTTTCATTATAACTTTCTATTGACAAACAACCTACTCTGCCCTAATTTCTTTCAATTTGGTAGTGGAGAACAAGTATTTAGCTTCATTCCCATTTATGATAACATCAATTAGTCTTCCTTCTCCCACCTGAGCAGAAAAGTACAAGGTTTTGCTTTCAGTCTGCTGCCAACAAGATTAGTACTGAGATGATTTGAAATGACCCAGTTTGAAACACTTAATATAGGAAAAAAATCACCAGGGTAAAGGCTTTACAGACATCAGGAAAAAAATGTGCAAAATACAACAATCAAATCTGAGATACTAGAGTTTTTACGAGTGACTTATTCCACAACAAATTTCAACCATCTATTTTATTTCTTTGTTCCACTGCTTTAAGAACACACTTATTGTGATGTAAATTCATAGAAAACTGTCCTCGGGTAGACAAGAGCAACGGGAAAGGTAGGAAAAAAGCTTGGAGTACTAGCCTATAATGAATCATTTACTCAACAAAATTGGACTCTATTGCTGTTTACATATTGCTTATGAACATACAGCAAATCTGCTGTTTTTTTATTTTATTTATTTTGGTATTCAAACTCAGTCTAAAATACAGCAATCAACCAAAAACATTCAGTACTCAAAATCTAGCAACTGCTTTGTTCAATTCATGTTTTGATGGTTAATATTGAAATAGCTGTATGCTTAGATCTTTAAAGATGTTTAGGTCTTAAGCAAAAGACAAAATACAGATAGGTATGTTAGAAGAGATGAGCTTTTACTAGAGAAATTATCATTGGAAAACACATTCAATTCATCCTACATTCTCACTTGCTCCGGGGGTGTTGAATAAAATAATGAGATGTTAATACAACATGTAAATGTTCTGAAATTGTTTCCTGGAGCACTTTATGTTGAGGAGATTTTATCAATTAACCTGGATAAATATTCTTGTCATTAGGCAGGGAGCTCATGAGTTTAAAAACTTGAATAGCAAGCAAAATGCAAATTTTGACTGATTTGTGCTCCAGTAAGTGATGGGTTTAAAGGCATGTGAACCATTTAATAATAAGTAAATATGCATGAGCCCACTGGGGGCCATGCCATTATAGAAACACTGACCACTCTTTTGTCCCTCATGTTTACATATTAGGCACAGCAGAGAGGAAATATAAAAAGCATCCCTCATAAAAGGCATATAAGCCCACCTTGCTGAATTGCTAAAGTGCTGCTATGACAAGAAAGATTGCTAATGCAGAAATCATTGCCCAGCACTCAAGACCTGATCCAATCTGCTCCTGAGAAAAAATGTATTCGTCACACTAGCTTAACGATCAAGCTAGCATAAAGTAGTAATTGTTAGGGGACTTCAAAAATTTTAAACTCAAATTTTACATTAACAGTTTTAAGATATTCATTCTTGAATATACTGAACACCTCTGGGTCATATTGTTAAGGGACCTCCAATACACTACAGAAGCAGTTCTGCACTTTTGGAATTCAGTTTCCTACTACAAATACCCAACCGTTCAATCACCCATCTGCCACAGGCACCCTGACTTCCTTCAGTAAGCCCCATCCTCTTTCTGCTCTCCAAATTACTCATCTGTAAGATGACTCAGTGTGTCACACATAGTATACATGATGGGACACTTGACAACCTCCCACCTTGAAGCTGGCTCTTCAGCTCAAGCTGTTAAGACATATGCCTTTTGTTCTGAAGTTCTTATTTCTGTCCCTAGTGTCAGACAACATACTGTACCCTATCTCTGCTGCCATGCGTTTTAATCTAAGCCTTATTAGTATGTCGAGTGGCAAAAGCAAATGAAAGGAGAAATGATGTGAGGCTATTAACAGAAAATGTGAAACAACTTCACAGTCCACAGAGTAAAGGAGCATTGTGGTTTTGGTCAAGCCAAAGAAGCAAGGTTTGCCATGACCAATATCTTCCCTTTCCTTATCAAACAGGTCAAACAATGCAACTAATATGGTACTTGCTGTACAAATGTTTGAGAAGTACGGACAATTTATCACATTCTTGAGAACACTCAAGGAGTGTTAAATTCAAAAGTTCTTACAAGCGACTAGTAACTTCTTATAGACTAGAAACACTGAAGGTCATGTCCTAGAGTACATCAAAGGGAAAAGCTTTTTTCTCTGGGTTTCCAATAAGGTTTCACAAATGATTTATGATCTTACTGTCAAGAAGGACTAATGATTGCAGGTCATTTATGGATTTCTGTTGAATTTTAATTACAACTATAGATAAGACTTTTATACTTTCAAATGAAACA